TTGAGAACAATTACTCTGTACCAGTGAATCTCAGACTTGAGTGTAAGTCAGAATAATGGGGAGACCTGTACATGCATAGATGGCCTGATCTTCTCCCTAGAGTTCCTGATTTAGCAGGTCTGGGATAAGGCTTGGGAATTTACAAGTTCCTAGGAGGTGCTGAAGCTGCTGGTCTGGGGCCTACACTGTGAGAACTGCTGATCTGTACTACTTTCTTTAGCAGATAAACCTGTGGTTCCTACCAAATAAATGTAACAATAGCATTGAACATGGAAGGGTTGTGAACTATAGGCCATCAAGGTAAATCTTGACAGTGGAGTTCAGGAATTTAGAAATCATGCTATTACATGAAATTGGAAAGCAGCTCCAAAAACTATGGTTTATGCATTGGATGAAGATTTGGTTTACATTTGCTCTAAATGCAATGATTTTTCTCAAATAACAGAGATGACCAAGATGAAAAGAAACAATCTCGAAAGAAATAATAAAGATTATAGCAATGAAACTTATTAGTCTATAATGTACACGCGCACCCATCTTCATTTGATAGGTTTCCAATTGCTCTTCTCAAACTTTCTGAGGTAAATTTTATATATAAATTTCCAGAGGCTATGTTAAGAAAAAAGCTATTATACACAACTCTTTTCACTTAGTGCCACATAATTTTTAATACCTTACCTAAATAATTTGTGTTGCAGCAGCGCAAAACTGGGGGGCAATAATGCTGTACACATTTCTGCAGATGGGAAAAAGACTAATAAAATTAATCATTATGGCCTGAAATTTAATAGATGTCTTGTATTTAATCTTCTAGGTTTACTAGACATGACAGAAGTCTGCAGAGACATTTTTAGATCATCACTTTTCAGCACTAATCAGTGCCTGCCCCACATGTCTGGTGCCAACGTTTAATTGTAGCCAAGAGAATCTGAGAAATGAAAGAATCTCTCCCCACACCAGCAAGCTACAAACAAAATCAATAGCCCTGTGCTGGCAACATTATTTTATTGTTGTGTCCTTAATCTCCTCTACTCTTCTGCAATTAGTTTTATTACTACTGCTCATTTAATGAGACCATGGAGTTTGGTGCCAGATGGTGCCATTAGTTAAATCTGGAAGACTCTAATGGAATTGAGTTCAAAGCAGGTTAAAAGTAATAGAATTACAAATTTTAATGGTCATCACTTCATAGCACACTGCTCTGTGTACCTGTTACATACCAGAAATTAGTGCTGGTTTCAAACAGAAAGACTTGGATTAAAGTTCGGAGAGACCAAGTGTGCTCATTCACTCACTCATTCATTCAGCAAATATTTAATCCTATTCCTATCTGGGTGCTTCAGGATACCATAAATAAGACAATCATGGTTTCTGCATCATGGAGCTTAGAGTCTACTAGAGGAGAAAGACAACATCAAGCAAACCAGCAAGATCATTATGCATTTGCGGTAAGTGCTAGGAACAAGGGAAGCACGGAACTGGCATGGAGGAGTAGAGGGTAGAGTGGTTTAGGTCAGGGCTTGATCAAGGGAAGCTCTCTGAGGAGGTGCTCTTTAAGCTGAGACTTAAGTGGTAGAGAGAAGCTGATTTGGGGGCATGTAAGAGGAATGTCATTATTGTCTGATGCAGTGAATAGCATGTGGAAAGGCCTTGGGATAGAAGTCATTTGGTGTCCCCAAGGAACTCAAGGGCACCTAGTGGGGAAGGGAGGATGGCTCAAGATAAGGCTGGAGAGTGACCAGAACCTGTTGGATCCAGAGTTGTGCGTGAGTGAGATGAATGAGCATTTAGAACCTGAGATTATCCAGGGATTTTAAACATGCCTTTGTGCCAAAGTGCTGATGAGTAAGACTTGTAGCAAGAACGTCTTTTGGGTCAGGGCAGTAAATACTCATGAGAGCATCATGACCTGGTCAGTATGTAAACTAATCAGAAGCATACTTTTGTCCCTTGGTGAAGAGGGCAGGCAAAACTGAGGCAATACTTTGATTCATAAAGTTGCTTTATATAACGGTAGCAGTAATTTAAACTTTGCATCCCTGCCTTCCTACAGGGCACATCTATTGTGTTTAGGTCTCCTCATCCTCCTGGTTGGTAACAGTGCCTGGCCTGCCTTTAAAGAACATCCCTGCTCCCCACCACATCTCTTGGCAAATGACTGCTGTCTCATTCCCATTGTTCCCTTTTCTGGTCTTTTGTCCTGGGCTGAGGCTCCTTCTCTCCTGTTGAATGAGTTTGCATCCATCAAGGCCAAGGTCAAAGAGAAAAATGATCTCCTGGGCACTGAGCCTGAGAGAAGAACACAAACTGCCAATGTTTCCATCATCTCCAAGAAGTCTTTCTTCAGCTTCTCTCTGAATTCCACCAGGGATTTGTACTTCCTGTGATGGCACCCACATTTGCACTGTTTATGAAGGATAGGTTGGATTATTAGTTCATTTCAGATATTCTCCGGACTTGTTGCCTTACACATAGCAGATACTAAAAGTATCTATTGAATTGAATTCTTACTAGTGGTTCCCTTTTGTTGAGCAATTAATTGCAAAGTACTCTTCTGAGAGGTTGTTATTTAATCTGCTTATGATAACTAATTTAATGTGTCAACTTGGCTAGGCCATGGTACTCAGATATTTCGTCAAACACTATTTTAGACGTTTCTGGGAAGGTATTTTTAAAAATGAGATTAGCATTTAAATTGATAGACTTCATGTAAAGTAGTTTACCCTTCCTTATGTGGGTGGGCCTCATCCAATCAGTCAAAGGCCTGAATAGAAAAAGACTGATGTCCCCTGAGCAGGAAGACATTCTGCCAGTCAATTGCCATTGGCTGAAACAGCAACTCTTCACTGGGGCTCCAGCCTCCCAGCCTACACCACATACTTTGGGCTTGCCAGCTTCCACAATTGTGTGGGCAAACTCCTTAAAATCTCTCTTTCTTGTAAATTTGTTTAAGTTCTTTGTAGATTCTAGGTATTAGCCCTTTGTCAGATGGATAGATTGCAAAACTTTTCTCCCATTCTGTAGGTTGCTTGTTCTCTCTGATGACAGTTTCTTTTGCTGTGCAGAAGTTCTTTAGTTTAATTAGAGCCCATTTGTCTATTTTGGCTTTTGTTGCCATTGGTTTTGTTGTTTTAGTCACGAAGTCTTTGCCCATGCCTATGTACTGAATGGTATTGCCTAGGTTTTCTTCTAGGGTTTTTATGGTTTTAGGTTTTACGTTTAAGTCTTTAAACCATCTTGACTTAATTTTTGTATAAGGTATAAGGAAGGGATCTAGTTTCAGCTTTCTGCATATGGCTAGCCACAAGAAAAAACCAACCCCATCAAAAAGTGGGCGAAGGATATGAACAGACACTTCTCAAAAGAAGACATCTATGCAGCCAACACACATACGAAAAAATGCTTATCATGACTGGTCATTAGACAAATGCAAATCAAAACCACATTGAGATACCATCTCATGCCAGTTAGAATGGCGATCCTTAAAAAGTCAGGAAACAACAGACGCTGGAGAGGATGTGGAGAAATAGAAACGCTTTTACACTGTTGATGGGAGTGTAAATTAGTTCAACCATTGTGGAAGACAGTGTGGCGATTCCTCAAGGATCTAGAACTACAAATACCATTTGACCCAGCCATCCCATTACTGGGTATATACCCAGAGGATTATAAATCATTTTACTATAAAGACACATGCACACGTATGTTTATTGCAGCACTGTTCACAATAGCAAAGACTTGAAACCAACCCAAATGCCCATCAATGATAGACTGGATAAAGAAAATGTGGCACATATACACACCATGGAATACTACGCAGCCATAAAAAAGGAAGAGTTCATATCCTTTGTAGGGACATGGATGAAGCTGGAAACCATCATTCTCAGCAAACTAACACAAGAAAAGAAAACCAAACACCGTATGTTCTCACTCGTAAGTGGGAGCTGAACAATGAGCACAAATGGACACAGGGAGGGGAACATCACCCACTGGGGCCTGTTGGGGGGTGGGGTTTTGGGGGAGGGATAGCATTAGGAGAAATACCTAATGTAGATGTTGGGTTAATGGGTGCAGATATATACCTATGTATACATCTGGCACATGTATACCTATCTAACAAACCTGAAGGTTCTGTACATGTACCCCAGAACTCAAAGTATATATATAAAAATATCTCTCTTTCTCTCTCCCTGTATATTTTGGTTCTCCTTTCTGGAGAACCCTGACTAATAACACACCTGACATCTAACCATTTACGCCCATTTTATAGATGAGAAAATTGAGGTTCAGAGGTGTTGAGTGCCATGCCCAAGGGTATACACCTGGTACACGGTAGAGCCAATATCTCAGTCCAGGTCTTTCTGAGCCAAAACACAGCTTCTTATACATGAAATCCACAAATAAGAACATAATGACCTATATGCAACACAAACTGTACTTCCAATAAAGTAGCTCTCCTTTTTAATCATTCAAAAAGTACCTCGGGATCTTACAGTGCATGGAAATCATCAATATGTAAATACCTGATTATCCAGGTGATGTGGAAAAGAGTCCAGTAGCACAGAAGGTTGGTTAATAGGATGGTGTGTCCCAGTTTTTTACCGCACTTGTACTTGCTCTGAATATTTAGGAACCATATATAAAATGATCGTCTCCAAAGTTATAATTTCCAAGAAGATCTTATACACACACTATTTTCATAAGCAGTCAACTGCAAGATCTTTAGAACCATGAGGGGATCTCAATACACAACAATTTAAGATTAACCATTTTGTTGAATGTAAGATTATATCCCCTCCCCCAAAAGAATGAAATTAAAATAGAGCAAAATAAACAGCACACGTGGAATCCTGAGCCTCTTGATGCCTTTTGCCTTGGGCTAAAGTTCCCTGGTGAGTTGCAAACTTCAAAAGTGTCCTCAAACTGGAACATTTCCATAGGAAAAGTCAGCAGAAAATATTGACCCCAGGATCAATTGTTTCTGTTTAAGTTACAGATTGCTGCAGTCAAAATCAGCAGCCAGTGTTTGATAAAGACAGCTCCTCTTAGAAAGAACTGTCATCTCCAAACACGTAGAGAGACACTCTCTCTGTCTTTCGATTACAATCATTATTTCCAGAATGGAGAAGATGATGATGATGATGAAGATATTGATTATGTTTGCTCTTGGAACGAACTACTGGTCTTGCTCAGGTAAGGTATTCACCAACCTGGCCACCTGCTCTGGATGATGCAGAGCCACGCTGGTGCCTGTGTCTTGTCTCACTGTGCCCCATGTGCTTGCATGTCCAGGTTTCCCAGTGTACGACTACGATCCATCCTCCTTGAGGGACGCCCTCAGTGCCTCTGTGGCAAAAGTGAATTCCCAGTCACTGAGTGCGTATCTGTTTCGGGCATTCAGAAGCTCATTAAAAAGAGTAAGTGCACAGTGAAGTCCTCTCTACTCCTCCTTCCAATGCTGTCTGCCTTTTGTCAGTTCATTGGATATACTTTTAAGAAATGTTCTCCAGTTTAAAAATGATAGTAGCTAGTCATGTCTTTCATACTGTCTCTTTTCTTTGACAGAGAAAGGATTTAATTACAATTTTTGTCATGAGGCTCTCCAAGCCACTTTTGATGACTGATTCTTCTGCTGTATTCTCCTCTCTAACCTTGTCTTCTGGTTTCCTGCATCTTGCTTTTGTACTTGAAGTCCTCGTGGTTCTTTCTGAGGTGTTTTATTAAGAACTTCTCATTTATTGGAAATGAGCCTCCTTTCAAATTCAGCAGCTCTGCTCCTAATACTTACTGGAAATAATCTGGCTTTTGAGCCAAAGAAATCCACCTTTCCTTGTCAATTTCATAATAGTCTATTTCCTCTTAGCCTTGGGAGCTAGAGAGAGAGTAATCACTTGGGCTTCCAGTGACTAAGTCTGTGATATGCAAGGAAAGAAATGTAAAAATATCCTTCAAAGGAAATGAGAAACATGAGCAGCAAGTCATCTCCTGTCTTCCTGTTCCCCAGGTAATTTCACGGCCTTATTATCATCTTCATGGGGCTCATTTGGAGGTAGGAATGAATGTATTTTCAAGCAAATTTAGGTTAAGGTGGGAGGTAGAGAGGTTCTATAAAGTTGCACGTCTTAGGAATGAAGGCTCTGTGCAGCCAGGCAGCATAGGAATGAGAATGAAGACACGGCCGAAGGTTCAGGCAGCAGAGACCAGATGGGTGTTGATTTCTCTCTGTCTGCCTGCTGACTTCCCCCATCCCTCCTGGACTGACTCTTAGCTTGTTCCCTCTGCTACTCTGTAGAGCACATGGCTCATGGTTTCCTAGTTTTAGTCTCCAAATACAACATATTCAGCTTGATCTTCTTCAGAGCCTGGCTCCCAGTTTCTCTTTTCCAAATTTCAAGGAAATGAATCAAATGGACCCAGTTTTCTTTTTTAGTTTGGTTATAGTTCATGAAGACTATGGGCTGTGTTTTTTTTAGGTGCCATTCCAGAATCATGGCCAGAGTGGGGGTCACTTGCAATATCCAGAGATGTTGTGTGAAGGCACTGGTCAGCTGCCACACCAAAGGTTGAGCTGCTCCTGGATCAGAATACAGAACCCTCTTCCTTGCTTATATTGTCTTTCAAATGCCAGTTTCCATGGGCACTTAATGAAATCCACTTGTGGTGATGTGGAATCGGGATCTTGTTGCCAACCTTGCAGATGAACAGTTTAAATTTACTTTTGATTTAGCTATTGCTCACTACAGAAGAAAGTTAGCAGTGTATTAGATGAATAAGAGCATGAAGACAGATCGCAAGAGAACCAATTACTGACACCATGGAAATCTGGCCTGTGGGGATGAGCTATTGTGAGGTACAACCACCAGAGCGTGTTCTGGCTCATGCACCATCTTGGTGTGGTCACCCAGACTTCAGCCCAGACACACATGCACCTAAAAATAGACACACTTATATGTGATGTGTGTGACTCTTGATGAGCACGTGAAAAATGTTGCCTCTCCACCTCAAGTACACTGCTCCTTTACCTGGAGGTCTGCCTATTCTTGCCTCTCCCTACCCTTTTCTGATTATTCAAATTCATTGATCAAGCTACAGTCACCATGCCCTCTTGTTGAGAACTCTATTTCTTCCCCCACTGGAAGGGAGATTCTCTTCCTTTCATCTTTCCTGGTGATATTTTTCCTATTGGGAGTGTTTCATATTTTCATTTATGTTGTGTGTATTAACCACGTCTTTTATAAACACCCTATAGATGGCTCCAAATATACCAATTCTCTCTACCCTAGTAGACACGAGAGATACACTAAGAGGCAAAGCCCTCAGGAAAGAGTTGAGTGAATAGATCACTAGCACTAGGGTTACAAACAATTCACAAAAGAGGAAATACAAAAGACTAAGAAAGATTTGGAAAAGTATTCAACCTCTCTAATAGAAGAAAGGTGCAGAATTAAAATCGCAATGTGAAAAAGAAGAATAACAAGGTAAAAGAATAACAGGGTGAAAAAAAATCACAACTACTGCTTAAGAGTTTGTAATTTTGTAAAATTGTATTTGAAAAGCAAGTTGGAAATATGTGTTAAACGTATTTACTAGCATGTTAAACGTTAAAACTAGTAAATATTTAAAACTTTCAATTACATAGTTTCACTTCTAAGAATATGTTCAAAGCAAGTAAGTGGTTTAGTCATGAATATTTGGGGGTACAGTTCAATGGTTGTAGGGAGAAGGGTTGGGCCTTCTGCTTTGCCCCCAGGTTTGCTTACCAAGCCCGCTGATTCTCTACTCAGACTACACATCATCATCGCGTGGGATGATGTTTAAATATTTAAATATTTCTGATGTCCAGGACGGATGGTTGACTCCTTAAACCCCAGTCTCTGAGGGCAGGGCTCATATTCTTCAATGTTCTCCTGCTCATTCTAATGTGTGGTCTGAGTGAAGAACAACTGGGTATTAACAACAAACCTGGATCAAATATTCTTGTAATTGATTTCAAGTTACTCACCTCCTGGACTCCAAATCTGAAAAACGATGAGAAAAGATAAAACCACATGACTTTAGCATTGATGGTTTTCTTGCTCCAACCTTGACAATAGGCTCACTTGGACTGTTCCCTCAGTGGACACAAGCAGAGAAAGGAAAGGTGGGCACTGGCCCTGTGCTGGGCAGGGGGAAGCAAAGAGGACAAGTCAGGCTGTGGTTTCATAGGGAGCAGTTTCTACCGGGGAAAGAGAGGGAAGGGAGATGGGGAGGGAGAGGAAGGGGAAGAAAGGGGAAGAGGAAGAGGACACAGTTAAATAAACCAAATTCATTTCCAATAGTGGAGAGTACCGTAGAGTAGGGTAAGCAGGTTAACATGACAGGCCCGGTCTGGGGCAGCAGTCAGATGGGGCAAAAGTGTCCTCTGAGGCTGCATATTTGAGCTAAGACTCACTCCAGTGACAGGAAGTTCCCACCATGGAAAGACCTTTTGAGGAAATATTGGGGTGAGCTGGCAGAGTCAGTGGGAGGGCCCTGAAGGACAAAAGGCCTTGAGAGGGAGGCTGGCTAGAGCCAAGTGAGCCTGGAAGAGAAAGGTGGGAGTGGAGAGAGGTCAGAGAGGTGGGCATGAGTGGGACATGCCTAGGTCATGATTATGAGGAGATTGGGGTCTGTTTTAAGGGCAATGGGTAACCCCTGGGGACATCTGCATTTGCAAACCATCTCTGCTTAGCTTGGGCCACAGTAACAAAGTACCATGAACACATAACAAACCATGGACTAGGTGATGCATAAACAGCACCAACTTATTTCTCAGAGTTCAGGAGGCTGAGATCCGGGATAAGCGTGCCAGCACGGTCCGATTCTGGTGAGGGCCCTCTTCTGGGCTGCAGACTGCTGATTTCCTGTTGTATCCTCACATGGCAGAAAGAGAGCTAGCTAACTCTCCAGCCTCTTCTTATAAGGATGCTAATCCCACTTACTAGAGCTCTATCTTGAAGACCTAATAACCTCCCAAAGGCCCAACCTCCAAATACCACATCAGGGATTAGAGTTTCAATATACGGATTGGGGCAGGGGACAAACAGTCCATTACAATCTCTCTAGCTGCCTGTGGAGTAGGGGGTGGGGGAGAAACTGAGCATGGTGAGATGCTGGTGTGGGGTCTCAAGTCAGGGGAGGGAGGATGGGGGGAGCAGATAGATTTGTGGTACGTTTGGAGGCAAAGCCATGGAGGTTTGGGATCCTTGAGGTCTCCATACCCTTTTTTGTGTGTCCATTTTACATTTCAACCTCTTTGCATTTTTTGGTTTTTGACTTTCTAAATTATTCTCAGCTAGTCATTTCTGATCTTTACTTTTTGTGCATTAATAAAGGATTCATTTGAAAAACCTAAGTGACCAGTGATGCCCTATTAGTGAGGGTTCTCCAGAGAAACAGAACCAATATGACATGTATACATATATAAATGCATGCATATGAATATATGGCGGGGGGTGGGGGAGAGAGAGACAGAGAGAGAGAGAGAGAGAGAAAGAGAAAGAGAGAGAGAGAGAGCGAGAGAGAGAGAGATTTATTATAAGGAATTGCCTCATACAATTTCAAAGGCTGGCAAGTCCAAAAGGAAAAAACAAAATCTCACGAGGTAGGCCAGCAGGCTGGAGATTCAGGGACAACTTATAGTTTGAATCCAAAGGCAGTCTGCTGGCGGAGCTCCTTTCTGATGGGAAGATTTCTGACTTTATTCTATTAAGGCCTTCAACTGATTGGATAAGGCCCACCCACATAATGGAGGGTCATCTGCTTTACTCAAAGTCCACTGACGTAAATATTAATCCCATTCAAAGAATAGCTTCACAGAAACATTCAGAATAATATTGACCAAATATCTGGGCACCATGGTTCAGTCAAGTTGACACTATAAAATTAACCGTTACAATTGTCAAACAGAATTGCTGTGGGTCTTTTATTTTTATATATTTGTATTTCTTTTAAAAATAAAAACCAAAATGTAATTATTACAAAAAGTCAGAAAATACAAGAAAGGGAAAATGAAAAATAACATTCATTATCCATTTCTGTGAGAAATACTCACTATAAACCCATGAGAGGATATCCTTTTGAGGTTTTTAAATTCATATGAAGGTATAAAATGCATTTTTAAAGAAAAGACCATATTGTAATACTGATTGTAAATTACCATAGTTTATTTCAGTAGTAATGCTGGGTTTTTAATTTTCTCCAGTTGATTTCTTATTGTTGAGCATTTAGGCTGTCCCACATTTTTTGAATTACACAGAATAGAAATTTACTGGCAGAAAGTGAGTTCAAAGGAAGCAGCAAAAATGTTAGGTGTTTCTCCTTATTCTTGAAAGACCCCTTCAAGATGCAAAAGAGGTTGCAAAATTATCTCACAGCTCAATAAAACGATCTGTACCCCCCAAAAACCCGCATTTTCATCTTTTCAGCTTTCGTGTTGCCAGTTTGCTTCCATCGAATTGCTTTCCGGTGAATTGCTGAAGCGTGCTTCGCAGTGGAGGGCCCCAAACAATGGACTTCAGTTGATGGGAGAGGTTTTTATTTTTTAATTTTTTAATGAGACTCAGATTTAACATTCAAAATATTAAAATTATAAATATATGAGGCAGTAATTCACAGTGAGGTTGAGTTTTTATTTCTACTTGTTTTCAGAAAATTCTGCTTTTATCAGCACTCATTACGTGTCCTATGTTAGGAGACATAAAGATCCCCATCTTAAGCTTGGAGTTTTGCCACTTTTTATCCAAAACAAAATGTTCTGCATGTGCCTATTATTCCCTAATTGTAAGCAGTTCTCGCTCTCACAGAAAGAGCGCTGCCTCCATCTCTCTCCTTCCTGGGTAGTATGTTCAATGTGTTGCTGACTTCAATTTGCTGCAAGGTAGGTTCAGAAACTAAGAGGGAAGAAGTGACTTGGATCCTGGGGGTGTTGTCAGGTACTGGACCATGGTGGGCTCCCCAGTGACTTCCTGCTGCCCCCTTGTTCCTGTCCCAAACTGTTTACCTTGCAGCAGGCACAGTGATTCAGATGCAGCTCTTAAAACCCTGTGATAGCATCTCGCTGCAGTGACAATGAAATCTAAACACCTTCCCGTGAGCTCCAAGACCATACCTTGTCTGACACGCTCCATCTCTCCAAAGTTGTAGTGTATGGTTCATGCCTTGGTCAGGTTGCTCCAGCCACAAGAGCCGGACTTGTCCCTGCCCCAGGGCATTGGCTCTGCTTTCTATTCACGGGATGAGCTCCTTCCCATCCTTCAAGGCTCAGTTTAAATTTGCCTTCCTTGGGAGAATTTTTCTGGCATTTTCTCTAAAACAGCTGCTTCCTTCCCTCACCCCCATTGCCATGTTGTTTTTTTTCTTGATAGCCCCATAACTATCTGGGAGGATCTTGTATAGTTTTCTTTGATGTGTCCACTGTGTGGCACTTCTTCTGGAATTTAAGCCACGTGGCATCTTCCCTGCTCTGCCTCTGGTACCGAACACACAGTGAGTACTCAAGAAGTCACAGGACTTTGTGACATCAGAACTCCCCAGATTTGTCAGAGTTTAGATGATTTTCCTTTGTGGAAAGGAGAATAAAATCATTTACACTCATTCACAGATCAGAACTGCTCAAGCAGGAAGCTAGGGCTGCAGAATAGTCTGTACTGCAGAGATGCACTTGTTGCTTAATTATTTATTTCAGGAATTATTTTTAAAATTATGGAGCAGTCTTTTAGGAAAATGACACTTAGAAATATGTACAGTTGATTCCTCTTACTTGTAGTAGTTACATTGTATAAAATCACCATGAACACCGAATTAGCAAACACAGAATCGTTGCTCCTAGGGGAAATAGAAGGTGCGGTTCCTGTGAGCCTCGGGTCACAACATTTTCATCAACCCATCAATACTAACCTTGTTTGTGTGAATTCCTGCTTGAGGATACTTAAATTAACATATATTGTTGATTCATTAACATTGAACTCATGACCAATAGCACTGTGACTCCTCCCTGAACAAAGCTTACCTCACTCACATATTTTCCGTGTCAGGTGCATCACAGCCTTGTGCTTGGGAACACTAGTGGGGTCTTCCACACCAGGCTTGGGGGCCATCTTAAACACTAAAGCTACCAACAAAAAGCACAAAAATGCAACAACAACAAAAAAAGCCACTAAAGAGACCATAAAAAGCACACCTGTTTTCAATATGAGAGTTGAAACAAGAAGGCAGAATGTCTCCTTGTTCGGCTTCTGTTGGTAACATGCACGTTGGGTGACTCAAGATTTTTGTCATTCGGCATTTGTCCATAGATGATTGCCAAAGTAAGTGCTACTAGTATTGATTTTGGGGTTACAAATAAATTTTAGTGAGTAGATGAGTTCGCCAATACGGAATCCACAAATAGTGAGTATCAATTGTCACTGTAAAGTGTTAGAAGCCATACTGGCCTTGGAGTTAGCACACCTACGTTCTGGTTCCATTTTTGTCACTAAACTATTGTACGACTTTGGTAAGTCACTTTTCCTCTCTGGTCTGGAGAAGAAAGGCATGGAATTAGGTGATTGCTAAGATAATGTATTGCTTTGATGGTGGACGATTCCGTAATTTTTTTCTCATGGGGCAGAAAGAATGGTTTATAGCATCGTAAACTTCAGACATGCATTGATCACACTCTGATACTTTATTTTTGTGAAGGTTGAGGTCCTGGATGAGAACAGCTTGGTCATGAATTTAGAGTTCAGCATCCGGGAGACTACATGCAGGAGGGATTCTGGAGAAGATCCTGCTACATGTGCCTTCCAGAGGGACTACTATGTGGTAAGTGGGAGAAGACCCCTCCCAGAAATGAACAAAAGGAAGAGCCTCACTTCTTCCATGACCTGGAGTCACACAAAGAACTTGGCAGCTGCCTGGCTAGCATCTGGCCCCACCGCTAACAGTGTGGACACGGTGTCCCCTGGTGGGGGATGTGTTACTCTGTGGCTGAGCATTGAGCTGTGGAGTCTGAGATCCTGAGTGATCCTGACAAATTACTTAATCCCTGGTGCCTCAGTTTCCTGCTTTTTAACATGAGGATGTATTTGTATCAGGTAAAGTGAATAAACACCAGAGACAAATCCCAGACACACTTAAAATTCTCTTACAAAGGATTATGAAACACTGACTGTTCCTGGCACATGTCACGTTCTTTTGCCATTGACTGTTGAATGACACCTGTCTTCCCTACTATTTCAGGCTTAGTGAGATCAGGAGCACGGCATGTTCGTTTTTGTGTCTCTCATGACCAGAACATGTACAGCACTGCTCCATGGTGAGCAGGTCCATGCAAACCTAACCCCAAAGGCCAAGGGAGCTGAGAGGCTGAAGAAAGAGGCTCCCACATCCAGTTTACCAGAAAAAACCAAAACAAAACACTTCATAGGGACTTACAAACAGAACCCGTATCTTAGGTGGAGGTGAGACAGTGGATCCTGTGCCATTACCTCCAGATCCAGGGCTTACATACTGTAGGGAATTTGACCTAAGGCCAGGATTTACAGTATGTACATGAAAGTGGAAATCTTAGAGGGATTCCCAGAAAAGGATTAATCAGAAGTAACATGGCAGATTGGCATCCAAGCTGGAATAGCTTTGGTCTCCACAGACACTTAGTCAACATCCACGGGCAGTAATCCCATCTGAACAGGGCAACTCCAGCAGTCCAAAATTTGCTTTCCAAAGTGTTTGCATTCCGAGGTTAGAGCTCGTGGGTTTTGTTACTTAAAAGAGGATTGTTTGATTTGTTATTTGTTGTGAAACTACTTGCTGTGACTCTGTTTTACAAAGGACTCATACCAAAGTGTCAGAAGCTTCTATTTCTAATGAAATCTGAGGTCTAAGAAGAAAAGGGTGAAGTCCTGTGGGGTTCTTCATCATTTCTTTTTGTCTGAATGAAAATTGACTCAGGGCAGCCCACTCAGCACTCATGGGGACATGTTTGCTTTTTCTAGAGACTTGTAATGGGTCAAACAGCAAAGAGATATTTAAATATTTCATTTGTTTCTGCTTTGGTCTTGAGGAATTTTCATTTTGAAAAAATAAAATGCCTCTGTGAAGATTTTCTTCCTTTGTCATTTCGCCAAACCTGACATTATTTCCTGATTTACTTGATGGAGGCTACCCCTTTCCACAAACAGCTGAAGAGAGAACTCACCACTTTGTCTTTTCCAGCCCACAGCTGTTTGCAGAAGCACCGTGAAGGTATCTGCCCAGCAGGTGCAGGGCGTGCATGCTCGCTGCAGCTGGTCCTCCTCCACGTCCGAGTCTTACAGCAGCGAAGAGGTATGACCGGGGCCTTGTCTTCTCTCAGACCGCAGCTCTTAGGGTCTGTGTGGGTTTGTGAAAAACAGAGTGGTTTGCTGGGTAGTTGGGTCATCGCCTGGGCTTGGGGACGCAGAACTCTGCTGACACAGTGGCATTCTCTCTTGGACACCTACAGCCTCACTGTCCACATCCCCTACTTCTCCCAGCCTATTCTTTCACTCTTGTACTCTCTCTCTCTCTCTCTCTCTCTCTCTCTCTCACACACACACACACACACACACACACACACTTGATTTCCCTGGGATTGGGAAATGGCTTTAAAGTAACAATTAGCAAACCTTTGAATTTTCAGATCTAAGTATGTGGCTTGCTGGCACTGTGGTTTAGTGCAATCAAGAAGGACATTTTTGTTGAACCAGTGTTCAAAACTATTTTCCAGCTCTGCAGTCCAGGTCAGGACACTTGACTTTCATTTAACCCTCATGATCCATGACTTCTTCATCTGTTAAATGCTAGCAGTCATAAAGACCACCTTATAGGCTGTTGAGAGAATCCGGTAAGTTGATGGACATGAAGGATCTGGCCTGGCACTGGGATACTCAATGGATGGCAGGACCCTTATTTTTTCTCAATTGTATTGAAAGTGATTTGCAATAATACTGTAATATTAATAACATATACATTTTTTCCTTGAAATTATATTATATATGTGTCCAATTATTGGCTGCTTTCCTTACTAGACTGTGTGTCTCATGAGGGCAGGGAATGTTTGTTTTTGTCAGCCCAGGACAATGTTTGATGCAGCACAATGTTTGACACAGCTCACAAAATACTTGTTGTATAAATGCAAGAAAACTGGGGAAGAAATGGACAAGAATATGATAAGAAGAGGCCATCTCTTCACTTTAGGGATAAAAGCATGACATATTTGTTCCTGTGTAATAGGATAATATTATTGACAGATATTTCTCAAATATTTCCGACATTATATGGATGATTCTGTCAAACATATTCTTTCTGTTTAATATTTTTGTTCAGTTTTTCAAGATTTAACTCTAGTGAAAATTACATTAAAATATTATAAAATTTCTACTTCAAGAATTACACATAAAAGTTAATTTTCCCATATAATTAACATACTCATGCCTTAACTATTTTGTCTGGAAGTATGTTTCAGAATTAGAAAGTAATGAAACTAATGACTGAGACACTCCTATCACAGAGGATGGCCTTATTGGTACAAAGAGAACTTCACACAGTTTATTAGGACTTTCTCCACAAAAAGTTCAGTTGAGCATGGCCTTATTGATTGATCCCATTCACACTGACAACTTCTGAAGGTCATCTCCCAGCTGATCTCTGAACTTGTCCTGGAGCCATAGTTGAAGAATCTTCGTTTCTTAGTGCTGGGGCGAGTACCATGGGCCTCCTTCCTTAGATCCTATTGAAATATTTAGGAAGTCAAATACATTCTATTGTAACACACTCATACACTGTGGCCCAGCTAACACAGAAATGACAAGGACCATGCTTATCACTTCACAAGTCTTTTGTTAGTCTTGATTTGTGGTTCATATGAGAAAAAAGATGGTGGGGAGGAAGACAAGCACAGTGCTAACCTTTGTGAAGTTTATAGACATGTCTGGGGGAAAGGTGTCCACTAAGCAGGAATTACCCTGTCAGGCAGGCACTGGGGGCTACATAGTGAGAGGAATTCAGGTCACGTGGGGAGCAGACAGCTTATCCCAGGAACTGACCTTCCAGCCAAGATCCAGAAGGCGGGTATACGTTAGAACAAACAGGGCAGAGTGTGGAGGGGGACGGGTATTTCAAGCATAGGGGAAATCTTGTGGAGTACCCTGAATTGCCAGGAAAGCTGGTAGGTTGAAATGGATAGAACTCTATTACAACAGGAATGAGAAAAACATGGGGAGAGAGGCACAAGGTGGAGCTGGAGGAACACTAGCAGTCAAGATGGACTTTGAGGGTCCTGTTGAGGATGTCTGGCTCTATCCTGAAGACATGGGGTTATGAAAGGGTTTTAAATGTGTGTGTGTTGGGAGCGGAGGAGGGTAACCGAATCAGATGATGAACAGATTGGAACTAGGTAAGAATAAATATGGAGTAAATATGAAGTAAATAACAGGTGAGAGAGAATGCTGACTGGGTCTAGGGCTTAGTAGTGAATGTTGAGAGAAATGGATTCTGGTTCATTTTATGACCTTTAACACAAAATGAATTTAGTAAATGGCCAGCTAAGTTAACGCCTCTTCCACCCCTCAATGGGAAAATGGGTTCTGGTTGTTTGCAAAGCCCACAAATCTGTTGCAACTTTCTAATTGCATAGTGAAGACCACTCTCTTTTCTTCCGATTTCGAGTTTTCTAAGAAGACTCAGATATTAAGTCAGCCCTTGTAAAAAAACTAGATCTTAAAATAAACTCCCAGGTTGCTTGTTCTTAAAGCTTAGGTGATCATAAACATTTTTGAGCAAATTTATTTTTAAAAATTCTCAAATTAAAAAAATTCTACAATTCAAAAGGAAAGAAGAAAGCAGATAGAGACTTGAGTAGTTCCTGGAAACTCTGAAATGAATTTCTTGCATGAAACAGAAGAAATGAGAGAACAACTGGTAATCATTTTCAGTGAAAAAAATGGTGATATTATAAATATGAAAGACATTAGATTAGGATAAATTTAGTCATAGAACAAACAAATTATCGTCGGAAGGAAGAAATAGAAGAAACAAAACTGAAAAAAACTCCCAGAGTAGTAAAAATAAAGATCACTTGAAAAACACATAGAGAATGTAGAGGAATTTCCAGAGTAAGGAATGTAAGATAAAGAAAAATGGAAGCCATGGCAAATAAACCCCAAAATCCAAATTATGACTAATAAGGACTTAGAGTAAGTCTGGTAAGGACATAATGAGAGACCTGAATATAAAATCTTTGGACTTTCCATGACATAATTTTTTAAAGTACAGCAACAATAAAAAATTGAGAAAATAATTTTCTAAATTTGCAAGTATTCTCTTATCCTTGACTAAATAGATATGTGAATTACTGTAGTTTTTATTATTTCTTTTACAATCCTGAAAGAGAAATGTGTAGAGGAGAAAAGCTTTCCATATGGTGCATAAGCACTCACTCAGTCTTATACTGGTGCAGGCGCCATCAGGAGTACAATGCTGAAAGGGTACAACGTAGTACAGTTGTAGGTTGGCGCTCTCTTTTTTTTTTTCCTTCAGTTTCTAATAAGTGAGCTTGACTTTAGACAAATCCTTCTGATTTGGAGTGGATACGATGAAGTCAGCTAGCGTTTCCGACACGAGACCCAAAATAGTCCAAGTGAGAGAAACTGAGGAAGAATAATGACAGGAATTCTGAGCTCAGGGGAGGGGTGACAGGCATTTAATTTACTTACTGCCTTTCATTTCAAGAGATAGATATTTAACTAGAAGTAGTCTAAGCCAAAAAGAGGTAATTCCCTGGATCACATTCCCAGAAAGGAAGGAGAGAAGTTGGCTTCAGGGACAACTCGACTTAGGGTCCTTCAGTCCTGTATGTGCCACATTCTTCTCCTTCCCCTTCTCTCCCTGCCTCCTCTTCCCTATGCCCCTCCCTGTTCCTCCTTCCCCTCATTCCCCTTTCTCTCTCTCTCTCTTCCTCCGTTTCCTCCTCCCTCTCCCTCTCCTTCTCCTTCCTTCTCTGCCTCCTCCATCTTCTCCTCCTTCCTCTCTCTCTGTGTCTCTCTCTCTCTGTCACTATGCCTCCCGCACTCCACGCCCACCCTTATTGCAGAGAGGCTTCCTCCTTGCAGCAGGAAGTAAAGCCTCAAGCTACTCCAGACTATGTCCTCTACTTAGGAGGGAAAGGAGGCATTTCTCTCTGCTGCCAGTTAGAGAAACCTCTCAGCATTTCCCCTGCTGGCCTGGCTTAGGTGTCCCCTTTTTTTGTTCTTTTATACATATAACTTTATTATTAATTTATTTTAAATTTTATATATTTACTGTGTACAATGTGATGTTTTGATACTCCCCTTCTAAAATACATTTTGGTGGAGATGTAATTTACATACCATAGAATTCACCCTTTTTATGTGTACAGTTCAGTGCTTTTTAGTATATTCAAAACTGCCACCACCATTTAAATCCAGAGCACTTTCATCACGTGGAAGAGAGACCCTAATAACAGTCGTTCTCTATTCCTCATTCCTCCCAACACCTGGCAACCACTAATCTACTTTGTGTGTCTATGGATTTGTCCATTCTGATCATTTCATACAAATGGAATCGTACAGCCTGTGTTCTTTTGTGACTGACTTGTTTCACTTAGCATAACGTTCTGGAGGTTTATCCATGTTGTAGCATGCATCAGTGCTTCATTCCTTTTTATTGTTCCATTTTACAGAGCCACATTTGATTGATCCATTCATTCGTTGATCAACATTTGGTTTATTTCTCCCTTTTTGGCTATCACAGATAATGATGCTAGAAGCATTCATGAGCAAGTTTTTGTGTACACATATATTTAATTCTCTTGGGAACAGAATTCCTGGATCATATAGTAACTCGATGTTTAATGACCATATAGTGACTTTATGTTTAACTTTTTGAGAAACTGCCACATTATTTCCATAGCAGCTGTACCATTTTACATTCCCACCAGTACTGTATGAGGATTTCAGTTTCTATACATTTTTGTCAATACTTGTCTTTTTTATTTTAACCATTCTAGTGAGTGTGACATGGTACCTCATTGTAGTTTTTTGTTGTTGTTGTTGACAGAGTCTCACTCTGTCACTCAGTCTGGAGTGCAGTGGCATAATCTCGGCTCACTATAACCTTTGTCTCCCGGGTTCAAGCAATTGTAGTGTCTCAGCCTCCCAAGAAGCTGGGACTACATGTGTGTGCCACTGTGCATGGCTAATTTTTGTATTTTTAGTAGAGACAGGGTTTCACCATGTTGGCCTGGTTGGTCTCCATCTGCTGGCCTCAGCTGATCTGCCTGCCTCGCCTCCCAAAGTCCTGGGATTACAGGCATGAGCCACTGTGCCCAGCTCTCATTGTGGTTTTAATTTACATTTTTCTAATGACTAATGATTGGCCATTATACATCTTCTTTGAAGAAATGTCTGTTCAAATCCTTGCCTATGATTTAATTGCACTATTTGTCTTTTTATTGAGTTGTTTTGAAACATTTTCTCCCCCTCTGTGGGTTATCTTTTACTTTCTTGATGGTGCCCTTTGAAGAGCCAAATTAAATTTTGATGAAGTCCAGTTTAGTAATTTTTTGTTTTGTTGTTTCTGTAGTTTTACATTAGGTCTATGCTCCGTGTTGATTTGATTTCTGCATATGATGTGAGGAAGGAGTTCGACTTCATTCTTTTGCATGTGCATATCTGGTAGTATCAGCACTATCTGTTGAAAGGAATGCTCTTTCTCTCTTAAATTGTCTTGGTATGTGTCCCTTCCTGGTCCAATGACTGTGATGGAGGCCAAGAGACTACCTGTGACTGTTCAGGATGGGGAGGACAGCCTACCAAGACTCTTGGTAGAAAGACTGTGAGCCAAGCAACCACTTTACTTTGCGATGATTGCATGGACTTTTAGTGGTTTCATGCAAACTTCTTGTGGACACCTTTTCTTACTGAACATATTACGGTGACTTTGTAGAGTGAAAACTCTAAAATTTGACCTAAACTTAGTCTATGTGCAAGTCTGTGTAACAGGGTTTTGCTTTTCTGGAGGTCGACCATGTTTGGGAGTACATTCTCAGTCTTGGGGAAAGATCTGCGGGCAATTTAAACTTCATGTAGGTTGCTCTTCCCCATGTGCTTTCTTAGACTTACATGTTTGATACCATATAAAGTTATTTAATATAATATATTGCCTATTTCTTTAAAAATGGATTATATAACATATATCAGAGTCTTCCAGATGTTACATTTTTCAGTGTCTTTTCTTTTTCTTTCTTTCATGTGTTGAAATATCCTGATGCCTGAATTTCTTTAGATGATTTTTGGGGACATGTTGGGATCTCGTAAATGGAGAAACAATTCTCTATTTGGTAAGTTAAGATTTGTTCTTTTTAATTTTTTTTCTTAAAATAACTTCATATTGCAGTTCTTTCCTAGTGAGTCATTTAAAACTAGAAATACGTATGTATATAATCTTGCAACAATTACAGTCATAGAAAATTAACATTTTGGCGGGGCGCGGTGGCTCAAGCCTGTAATCCCAGCACTTTGGGAGGCCGAGACGGGTGGATCACAAAGTCAGGAGATCGAGACCATCCTGGCTAACACGGTGAAACCCCGTCTCTACTAAAAAATACAAAAAACTAGCCGGGCGAGGTGGCAGGCGCCTGTAGTCCCAGCTACTCGGGAGGCTGAGGCAGGAGAATGGCGTGAACCCGGGGAGGCGGAGCTTGCAGTGAGCTGAGATCCAGCCACTGCACTCTAGCCCCGGGGACAGAGCGAGACTCCGTCTCAAAAAAAAAAAAAAAAAAAAAAAAAAGAAAATTAATATTTTGTTTTGCTTTTGCTTACTTTTTATCACTAGGTAGTAATGATACAACTATTCATTTAGATGTTTCTTTGTATTCACGACAGAGCTTTTCCATACATCGTTCCATTTGATGGCCCCAACATCTCTGCCAAGTAAACAGAGCCAGTGTTGGTTTTCCCCTTAAGAATGTGTAGCTGGGAGGATCAGGAGTAAACAGGCTGAATTCTATCGTCTTTCAGCCATACAACTAGATCTGATCATCCCTTTGAATGTCTTGGTTCAGGGAGGAAGGGCTCCTCTTCTTTCTTTCCCTGTGTGGCTTTTAATACAAAGTGGGTTGGGTTAGTGTTCTATGATTTAGGAGGCATTTTTCCTATTAGTGCTGATAGCAATAAAACTCAGTGGTGATCTCTTACTGCTTTTTTGCTTAAGAAGCATATTGTGGCATTAATAATGAAGTCATAGAACATTCTGGAATAGTGAGAGGAGTCTTGTCTTATGATTATTACTGTGTTACAGGTCTCATTCCAGATGAGTCCACAAGTGAACAATTTTATGATCAGTCACTTGGTAAGTGGTTTCTTTCCTGCTGTGCTACCAGACCCTTTTCTGATCAATCTGGACTCCTGAGAAATCCTATTTCATAGCTGTTTCCAGTTTCATAGGAGTTAAATCTCTGAAAGACAAAATATTTTAAGTAAAAACGAAAAGAATAGTAATGTATAAACTTGCTTTGCAAATCATTAAAAAGAATGCCTTGAGGCACTAACTGACTTAAAAGTTACTAAGAATCAAAATATCAAATCTGGCTCAGGAAATAAGAATTCACCATTTTTTTCTGACACTCTCTGGAGCATTTAAAAAGTAGCATGAACTCTAATAACCTTCTATTTTTTAATTTGAAAAATTAAATTTTTATGGGTACATAGGAGGTATATATATTTATGGCATATATGAGATATTTTGATGCAGGCATACAACGTGTCTAATGATCTTCTTTTTGCCATACTCAACCAAACTTCTCACCAAATGGATGAAACAAAGTTATTTTGTCCCTCTCCTGTACAGATCAGTTTTCTCATTTGGTCCTCATGATAGCCCTGTCAACCAGGTGTGTTACCTGCTTTTATAGATGAAGAAAGCAGTAAGAACTCATGGCATTAATTGGCATATGCAAATTGCCTACCCTGTACTAATTGCTTAACACAATTTTCTTCTTCAGTGTCACAACCATTCTGTGAGGTAGCACTGTGTTCTTTCCCATTTTGTGGGTGAGCTAACTGAGGCTTAGTGAGTTTCCCTAATTTGCTTGTGGCTACATTGCCAATGCAGGACTTTAATCAGATTTGTCAGAATCTAAAACCTGTGCCTGTTTCATGCTGCCTCCCAGAAGAGCTGCAAAATCCACCTGATGTTCAGCATTCCCTATTAAAATGAATAACACAGATATTAACATTTCAGTGAGCTCAAAGTCTGACCTTCATTAGACATACTCCAGTTTATTTGAAGTGCTAGAGCTTATAACCTGATGCTTGTTTTTTTAAAATGCCAGTTTTATATTTCATCCAAGTTGTCACTTTGGGAGAATATACAGTTATTATAACAGCATGACCACTGCTGAAACGTTTTTATGAGCTTTTCCTTTGGAATTGTCTTCAGAATCCATGGCTTTTTTTTTTTTTTTTTTTTTTTTAATTCTCTGTCCTGGTGGCAAACATTTGCCCTTGGATTTGGTGTTGGGAATATTCAAAAGACATTTGGAAATAAATCTGATTAATCAGATTAATAATCAACTTGGGTGTGTTGGTTATCTATTGCTATGTATCAAGTTACCCCAAAATTTGGCAGCTTGAAACAACACACATTTATTACCTCACAGTTTCTGAGGGTCAAAGACCCAGGAGAAACTTAGCTGGGTGGTTCTGGCTCAGAGTCTATCAAAAGGTTTCAGACAAGATGTTGACTGGGCTGTGATCTCATCTGAAGCTTGACTGGGGTTGAAGGAGCCACCTCTAAGCCCACTCACATGTTGTTAGGAAGCCTCAGTTCTTCACAGGCTGGTGGACCAAGGGCTTCAGTTTCTCCCCATGTGACCTTTCCATAGGACTTCTGAATGTTCTCAAATAATGACAGCTGGATCCCGCCAGAGATGATGATTTGATAAAGAGAGAGAGAGAGAGAGAGAGAGAGAGAGAGAGAGAGAATGAGCAAGCAAGAGCACCGAAGGCAGAAGACACGGTCTTTTATAAACTAATCTTGGAAGTGATATGACTTCACTCCTGCATAGTTTATTATTAAACACACAGGCCAATCCTGCCCCAGTGTGGGAAGGGAATGCTCAGGAGTGTGAATACCAGGAAGCCATCTTGGAAACTGATTATTGCATTGGACAAATGCCATTTGGGACTAAAAATGTTATATGGATATAAATTAATGTGACCAATTCTTTTATATGTCTTGGAAGAGATTTCTAAGCCAAAATCTAAAAACACATTGGGCCTGGATGAGCATCATTGACACAGAAGTGCAGCTGTCTTGGAGACTGCTTTGAACATAATGATTTAATTTAATTCAACAAATGTGTGTGCCAAACACTGGGTAGATCTCATAGAGGACTGAAAGATAAAGGTGGCAGTTCCTGCCCTCGAGGGCATCCATGGTGGCTGAGACATCACATGTAGTAATACAGAGTGGGGAGAAATGAGCACTGGACCCAGCTGTAACACAACACAGGGGAGAAGGAGAGAGAGTGGAATAAGGAAGATGAAGTTATCATGCCCTCAGGTATTCTCATGGCAGATGGGTTCAGGTTATGCTTGTCACAATCCTTCTCATGAATTTGTAGTAACATTGTCCACACTGTCTCAGCTCTTGATGTGACTGACAGAGCCTATGCTTCCCTTTTCTATCTTTAGAGATCATGAGAAGGGTTTTGCCTCCTGGAAACAGAAGATACCCAAACCACCAGCACAGAGCAAGAATAAATGCTGACTTTGAGTAACAGCCTTGAGGTAAGAAAATGCAGGTGCACACATGTGTATTTAGAAATAGAAGCTATGTGGAGTGAATGCCTTAAAACTGCCGGCCTCCAAATATCTACAATGTACTATTCAAATCTTTGCCTTTTGGCTTCTATGACCTCCTTCCCAAGATTTCTCCTCAATTGCCTCTTCAATCTCATGCACCCTCAATCTTTTTCCCATGACATTTGTATCTGTTGCCTCTGATGTGATCAAGTCTATCCATTTGAGGAGCAAACAAACAACAAGGGCACAGCCCCTTCTTTTGGCCCGTCTCATCCATCTAAGCAACTACCTTCCCTCCATCCTTCCTTCCCTGCTAAACTTTTTGACACAACTGTGGTCTCTGGTTGCTTCCTCAACCTCCTCATCTCACATCTATGAAATACCATCTAGCTTCCTTTTCTTGATGTGTATTTTATTTATTATTTATTAATTTATTTTTTGAGAGGGAGTTTCGCTCTTGTTGCCCATACTGGAATGCAATGGCATGATATTGGCTCACTGCAACCTCTGCCTCTTGGGTTCAAGCGATTCTCCCACCTCAGCCTCTCTAGTAGCTGGGATTACAGGCTCCTGCCACCATGCTCAGCTAATTTTTGTATTTTTAGTAGAGATAGGGTTTCACCATGTTAGCCAGGCTGGTCTCAAACTCCTGAGCTCAGGTGATCTGCCTGCCTCAGCCTCCCAAAGTGCTAGGATTACAGGTGTGAGCCACCGCGCCTGGCTGATGTATACTTTAAATACTGGTGAGCATTTGTATGATCTCCTTAGTTTAATTCGTCCCCTATTCTGTAGATTACTCTTTTATCTCTTCTTCTTGCTTGACTTTAACTATCAATGATGCATAATTATTTCCAAACGCTTGTCTCTTATCACACTGTATGTCTGGATCCAGGCCTTTATATCAACTGCCTATGTGGCATTGCCATTGTGTATCCTGGGTGTCCCTGAAACTCAACTAGCTTCCTCAAGCTCCCTTTCTTAATTGATGACATTACATCCACCTAATTTGCTCAAGCTAAAACTCTTGAGGGCATCACTGACTCCCCTTCATCCTTCATCTTCTTGGAATGTACATTGGGGTCCGGTCTTATTCACTTCCCCCACACATTTCTCTGGCATTGGTCCATCGCTTCACTACCATCACCAATGAACTATTGATTGTATTCTTGCCTCAGGTTCTGATCCCACACTGTCTACCTTGCTTACTGTCTTCAGGTTTATCATGAAACATGGAGGAGACTCTGATCCTTGCCCCATATAAACTAATGCTTGCTTCACTTGTGGGACTGAGCAGAGGTGGGCAACAGCTAGACACTGGCCCAATAGGAAGAACAGCCTATCTGCCCCAGTTCTATAGAAAGCTAGAGATGGAGTCCTGGTTTATCACACTGGCACTGAGCTTCACAGAGTTTCACATGTGTATAAATTCCCAGTTACTAGGGACGGGATAGGAGCAAATGTAGCTATCATGAAGGGCACACGTAAGAGGAATGTCAAGAAGGAATTATAGACATCAATTCCATGCATAGGTATTTTACATGCACACATGTGCACACACAAGTTAATAATGAAGCTGGAGTGTTCAAGGGCTTTACAGTCTTCATAACACTGCATGCTTTCAGGATAAAGTCCAAACTCCCAGTGTAGCTCACAGTGGCCTTCATGACCTGGGTCTGCCCACATCTCCAGCCTACCTGGCTGCTCAGCTCCTGAGGCACTGAGGTACTTGCAGTCCCTCCAGCTTCTGCCTCTACTGGGACCATCCACCTGACTAGTTCTGCCTCACCGTTCAGGTCCCAGCTCAGTTGTCGCTTCCCTTTGGAGGTCTACGTTGACATCACAAGCCACCGCCACTGAATCAGAGATGATGTCCCTTTTTGGGCCTCTGTAGAGTCCTCATCACAGGGCACTGCAATTGGTTGTTTCCTGTCACCCATCTGACTACCAGACTCCCCAAGAGGAAGTCTCAAGGAACTTCAACTGCCACTGTCCCCCAGTGCCCTGCACATAGCCCAGCACACTCAATAAATAGCACTCAGTAAATATTTTTTAAGCGAATGAAATCCTTCACTTTGGGTTCTTGAAATTCTTTTACCAAAAACATAAGTTAAGCATAGTATAATTAATTTTTAACCATATTGAGATTTGAAAGAAGTCAACTGACATTTTACTAAAATAGAAGGGAAATTCACCAGTGAGGCCTTCTTGGATGAAAGATACAAATGGTAGGTTTTCTTTTGAATGTATGGCACAACTCTAAATATAAAAACCAGCTCCATACTGAGATCGAGAATCTACGCATTATGAAGAAACAGACACATCATATTCCTCTTCTATAAATGTAAATGATATCTTTCTTTTTCTTTACAGAATATCATGGGTTGGGGCAGAGAGGATAGAGTTCTCAGTGCATTGGCTATATTTTGTTTATTGTAACATGATAACGTTGGATGTGTATACATATGTGTATTGCAATATAAATTCATCATCTGATTTTTTATGAAGAAGTTGATCACTCAAAACATTTATTTTTAAAGACAGCTGCAGCCCTGACCTGAACATGGGATTTGACTGAAGTCCCAGTTATATCTCTGCCCTCCCGTGACCTTTAGCAGGACAGGTTTCTACACCATGCTGGGTTCCCTGAAATCACAGAATGAGGCTGGTAAGGCCGGCACAGTGGGTCTAGTGAAGAGGCCAATCCGATGGGATCTGGAATCCATGGGCCTGATTCTGAGCCTGCTCTCCCATCTGCGATAGTGATCCAGTTCCTTAACCTCTCAGGATGCAATTCCTTCAAGGGTTTATTATTACTTTTTTTTTTTTTTTTGGTCTATACTAGACCACAAGCTTCCTTTTTATTTTGAGACAGAGTCTTGCTCTGTTGCCCAGACTGGAGTGCAGTGGCACAATCTCTGTTCACTGAAACCTCCACCTCCCAGGTTCAAGCAATTCTCCTGCCTCAGCCTCCCAAGTAGCTGGGATTGCAGGTGCACACCACCATGCCCAGCTAATTTTTCTATTTTTAGTAGAGATGCAGTTTCACCATGTTGGCCAGGCTGGTCTCCAACTCCTGACCTTAAGTGATCCACCCACTTTGGCTTCCCAAAGTGCTGGGATTACAGGCATGGGGCACCATGCCGACCATAAACTTTTTGAGGATGCATTCTCCTTGTTAATTATTTCAGTTTTACAAGAAGTAAAAATATTATTAATGATATGTCTATATGAAATTATTAAAAATATCCTTCATCAATTTCATAGTGCTAAGAACAGTGTATAGAATACAATCAATCGGACTGGGAGGATAGAGTGAATGAATGCATGACCAGAATCAAAATTCCTCTTTTCAAATTGTGAGTGACATTTTTCCACCGGGGAGCTCTTTAAAGGTAGAGACTGTGGCTATTTGTTATGAAATCCCCAGAGCCCTCAACACTGTTCTAGGATTCTTTCATGTTGCCAGAAAACGATTTGATATATGAGTAGATAGTGAAATGTAATATTTAAATAAAATACTCTGAATTTTTTTCTCATTTATTGCTCTAAGGTAGGAAATGTAGAAAATCAGGTCCCAGCTCCCATGCTGAAAAAAATCTCTTTGAGAATCTTAGACTTTCTTATCTTTGTAGCTGGAATAGTTCTGACTTTTCAATTATGTAGTGGCCGGAAGACCCTCAGCACCCAAACCATAGCAGTGTGAGTGATGCATTTTTCTTTATGTCACAATCTTGATTGTTAGTGTGGAGTTCCTAAACTATGCCCAAGAGCAGCAAAGGGGGCAGTTCTTTTTGAGGCCTTTTGTCATTAAGGGCATAGTAAAAAGAATCATTCTCATAATTTTATCCCTTTATTCAACAGATGTCCATTAAATGCCCTTCTGTGCCTGGCCTCTGTGCCCAGCCTCTGTGCCCACGAATATCACAGCTCTCAAGAATGCCTGGGCCTGTGTTTGGACCCATTCGTACATTCCCTTGCATAAACGTTGGAACAATCAAATGAAGTTTTCTTCTTGTCATTCTCTCTGTTTCATGGAGGAGGAAGCAGAGGCATTTAGAGGCCCCTGCCCTCAGAGATAGTGTTGGGATTGAGACTGAACTCTTGATGTCTGTCTGTTTCCAAAGCCTCTTCCCTCTTCTTTCCTGTTTTTCTCACATCTCCGTATTTTAAAAAAATAGGACGAGAGGGCAAAACTTCAAGGCTTATTTGTTTAAGAAGCATTTGTCATGTGTTGGGTGAAACTAGAAATGTAGTCACCAACTAGATGGCAAAGACTTTAACTGATCTAAAGTGTTAGAAACATACCTGCTTATCATCAACTATGTGGGAGGACCGGTCCCTAAAACCCGCACCACCTCTGCCAGCTTTCTGAGTGATTTCCACATTCAGGTATCAGATTCATTCGTGACAACTTCTCATCATGGTCTCCCATGACAGTCCCCCTACTGAAGAGAGCCAGATGCCCCACAGAACACAGAAAAGACCCAACCGAGACTCCAGAGGCACAGACATGGTGATGTGCAGTTGTATTCATTTACACTTTCTCTGATTCACATTCACAGCACACTGTGTTAATTGCTGCGTCAAGTAGAGTTGGTTCTTGTTATCTGAGGCAGCTATCATCTATAAAGTTGCTTCGAACATTGAATTAGTGAATACTAAACTATCGCTCATATAGACAATCCAGGGTTAGAGTTCTCTGAGCCTCTGTTCCCAACGTTTTCCTCAACCGATTAGCATATAACCTTGTTTCATGTGTGTTTCTGTTTAGATGCCGTATTTAATAGATACTGTTGACTCATTAACAATGAACTCATGGGCAATAGCGCCATAATTCATGGCTGAGTGAAGCTTCTCTAACACACATATATTTTCTCTGTAAGGCACATCACAGCCTTTTTGCACTTAGAAACACTTGACAGCACTATACTTGGGGGCTATTTTAAACAGTGACATCATGAACAAAAAGCACAAAAATGCAAAAATTGGGGCATTAGATAGACCGCGAAAAGGACACTTGTTGACAGCAGGAGAGCTGAGACATGGAGGTAGAGCGTTGCCTTGATTGACCTCAGCTGGGAAGGTGTGGGAAGGATGACTCCAATCTTTTGCTGCTCCGTGCCTGTCTGAGAATGAATGAGAAAGCACCATGAGTACTGATTTTGGGATTTCAAATAACTATTTGTTAGCAGTGAGTAGGCGAATTCACAAATACAGCATCTGTGACCAATGAGGATTGACTGCAGAGTGGGTTCGGGCCCCTCGTTTATCCCTAGCTTCTCATTACTCTCCCTTGATCTCTTCTCATCCTGTCTTTTTAAAAACGCCGTCTGCATGAGTTCCCCAGGGCCTCACGCAGTCTCTCCTCCTGCACCCGACACTGCCCTGCTCTGTAGCCACTTCACTGCTGTCCCATCCTCACGTCCACCCCTTCTCCTCCTGGACCTCACAGCCGCGTTGGATGTGGATGACCACTCCTTCTTTCTTGAAACCTTCTGACCTCTGAGATTTGGTCCCCTCTCAGGCCAAGACTTCTTGCTCTTCACAGACTGGCTTCTTCCTGCTGCCCTTGAAACCACGATGTTCCCCAGGATTCCAACCTTGGCTTTCCTTCTGCTCATGGCCTTCCCTCTCCTGGGTGATGCCAAGCACCCCCAGGGCTTTGACACCCAGCTGTCTGGGGATTCTTCCCCCTCTCCTCCACACTGATCCTCCAGCCTGGACTCCAAGCTTGAGTCAACGGCAGCCTGCCAGACACCTTCGTCTGGGTATTCCATACCACCTTCAAAATGCGATTCTTCCCTCGGAGAGTCACTCTTCCCCCTGTCTCCAACCCATCTTCCAAGGGCCCCCAGGCCTGAAGCAGATGCATCTCAGACCTCCTCCCCACCTCACCCAGTTGGTCACCGAGGTCCGCTAACCCTTCCTCCGAAATGTTTCACAGCTCTGTCCGCTCCGTGCTGTTGGCTCCAGTTCCAACTGCATCTCCAGCCTGCTATATTCAGCATTTTCCTGGTGGCTGTGTGTTGTTGCCCTCAAAGGCACCTGTGCACTGTCATCAGAGTCGTTTTATCACGAGTCTGGGACCTTGCTCTGCCGGAGGATGGGGATGAGTTCCCTCAGAGTGTGCGCCTCAGCAGTCCTCGTCCACACACCTGGCAGTGTGCTGCCTGTCTGTCCCCAGCCTTGTGTGCCACTTCTGTCTCCTGAGTCACATGGGAGAGCCTCACACAGCTGACTGTTCTCCTGGGGCCCGAGTCTGGGTCTCACCTCCACTCTCAGGCCCCCTCTGCTGGGATACAGTATCCCCACCCCAGCTTATCCTCCGAGTTCAGCGTACGTGTCCTCTCCAGGAACCCTTTTCCTCGGGTTTCCTGCACATGGGTGTCTCTGGAATTGGCATTTACCAAGCTGTACTCTAACTACTTCTACCCCCTTCACTAGGTTGTGGGAGATTTTTGAGGTCAAAACTATGCCTCATTGATCTTTGTAACCCCCAGCAAATGCTCAGTGCATACGTGTTTATCAAACAGATGAATTGATAAATGGATGAATGGCTGGAGGGAGTATCCTGATCTCCAGCCCCCCACCCGCTCACGATGGCAGCTGTGGACAGCCTACTCTTTTGCTTTTGCTTGGTTCCTTCCTTTCTGACCTCACGCCACAAACACCTTCACAGACCAGCCTGGGGCCCAACACCTGGCTGCAGCCTCTGCTTGGGGTCTCTTTGATTCTTCCCTTTATGAGATTTGAGCTTCCTTTCTGGGGCTGTGTGTCTGCTCCCCAGACCCAGTTACCTGTTCTTCCTCCTGTAGGCGTCTCTCGCCCTTTTGGTTTGTTCAAGGAGCTGCTGCTTCGCATAGCTGCTCTAGTGTCTCGTATCATCGGATCTGGTTTTGAGTAATGCCCAGGAGTCCTGGGTCCCGGGCCTCCAAAGCTGGAATGTGAATGCATGCCATGGTGGTCTGACCCTCATGCTCCTTTTCTCTTAACAGCAAAATGCACTGGAAGGAAGAGAAGTTCCAACAAAGAATGATTTTGTGAATTCTTTGTGTGATTTTTC